TATTATTAAAATCTCTATAAAATATCTGATAATTTGATGTGCATATGTCTAATGGTCATTTGTATCTGAAATTTGTATCTGCACACACGCATACACACATACACACATTCATTTTTTCTAAGGTATGCCTAAATGTTGTTCAGAAACCTCTGAAACGTAAAGATTATAAAATTTTCATTTTCGATTTTTTTGCAATTACTATAACTTACCCTACGGGAAACGTTACATTATCATATGTGACATGATTGTCTCTGACAATGGTCAGAAGATTTGAGTCAGAAGATATAATTTTTTTATTAATCCTACAGTTCTACTTGTGTCGTGTAGTGGGGTGCATGGCCGTAAATCTTGGTACGGAACCCAAAAAAAATTACACAGAATGTGTACACATTATTAAAATCCCTATAAAATTGAAATTGAAATTGAATTTTTATTGAGAGTCCATAACCGCCGGATCTGCCTTCCCAAAAATTTTTCAATCAGTTCTTCATCTTGTCAATACAAGTAAAATGTTTTTTGATTTATTAAAATCGGTTCCGTTCTCCTAAAAACTGAGTTACCGTTTTTGGCACTTTTTGCCCCGTATCTTCGGAACGGCTAGACCTGCCTTCGGCAAAAAGTAATCAGCACGTCTCATCATCAATACGAATCGAATGTTTTTTAAATTATTTAAATCGGTTTATCCGTGTTTCCGAAATCGTCGACCAAAATTTGTATCCGCACATACATCCATTTTTTCTAATGTAAGGTATGCCAAAATATTCAAAAACCTTTGAAACGTAAAGATAAATAAAAATGTTCATCTTCGATTTTTTGCGATTACTATAACTTACCCTACGGAAGTTAATAAAAAAAATTATAAATATTTTAATATCGAATACCCATGAATATAAAAAATATTTTATGTTATATTAAAAAGTAGCGAGTTATTTATTCGTTAAGGTCATTAATTATTCTATTCATAATGATATTTTAGGAAGTACTTTGTAAAAACGCAGCCTTTCAGTATAGAACTGTGTTTAATAATGAATTTATGTATTTCTATAGAGATGAAATTGAATCGCTCACCCAAGAATCCGAAAGACTGAAAAGGTCCCTAAGTGCCAAGAATGATATGGAGCGCGACCAGGTCGCCGCTATCGACCGCCTTACCTCGGAGAACGCAAAACTGGTGCGCGACGTGGCGCAATACCGCGGCGAAGTGGAGGACCACTTGCAGAAGCAAGAAACAATGAAAAAGTCCCTGACGCAGCACGACAAGAATTATCTGAACGATGCAGGGCTACCGGCGAATTAAGTAGACGCGACAAAGCTTTGGTAATTAATATTTTTCTTGATTGATACCTTGTTTGTATTTTAATTATTAGTATCTAACCGAATTGCATAACTTTTGATATAATAATACTAATAATGTTTACACCACCATCACTATATCTTATTTTACAGATTTAATAATTATGGTCGCACAACTTATAGGATAATAATTCTAAACATATATTTAATTTGAATTTAATAGGATTACTAAAAACGCAAAAAAGCAAACCCGACGAACCCCGTTTTGCCACCAGATGGTTTCGTGAGAAAGACGAAGAAATTTTTGTTTGTTTTTTATTTGAAAGGAAAAAAATTGATTTTATTACACAACAGTAATGAATTTATTTCGATTACAAAAATGAAGTGTTTTTTTAGTTGAACTTCTCTAAGTAAATGAAAGGGAATCCGCAAATTATCCGTTTCATTGAAGTGCTCTTTGGTAAACCACTTTTTTTGTTTTTGGTCTGACGTTAACACAAACAAAGCGGATGGTTTTCCAACTCGTGAACAGGCAACGTATAACTGCCCATGTGAAAAACAATGATTTTCTAAATAATCTATTTGAAATTTATTCCGCAAACACTAAGCGATTGGCCTTGCGACTTGTTTTGCGAACACAAGGCGAACTGGAAATTGCAATCGTTTGAAGTCAAACGGAAGACCAGTCGGAATCATTGGTATGTCACCAAATCGCCAGCAATTTTTGATTGAATGGTGAAATTCAGTGCGTGTACATCATTATTCTTTGCGGTAAGAATTGCTCGTTGACTTAACCAAGCATAATTCTGATAATTCTCACTAATGTCATTACTCGAATTTTTAATTACGGTGCGTGAAGTTCCAGTAATTTGCATTAAGGCACGATGCCATGCACCACTAATTTTCTTAGCTATAATCCTTGCGGAGCCCGAAACCTTTCCAACGAATGCAAAATTGTCATTGAAAATCGGTTCATGCGTTCTGGAGTTATATCGTCAGGAAGGAAACCCGACTTATTTTTATATATATGTAGATATAGGGCAATATATTTAAATAAGCCTTGGCAAATGAAAAGATTAAAATTCCGATTAAATACGTTTAAACTTCAATTAACTTCGTTTTTGTTAATCGAATAAACGAATCAATTTATAGTATAACACAAACACAGGTCCACAAAAAACAGTTTTCTGTATTAGGAGTGCGGCATATATTTTCCAATGTTTTTACCGCTGGAGACGAATCTAAAGTCAAAATTGGGAGTCAAATAAAAAATTGAATAAATTAAAAAAAAAAGACGACAAGGCCTCCGATCTAGTAATTCTTCTGCATGACACTTACAATCTTTTAATTTCTGTCCCCTTTCCTGGCTCCTTTTACCTTAAATTACTATTGAGTTTTATTTAAATGATCTACTGAGTTTTTTGTAGAATACAGCAGTAACTTACAAACATATTCAAATGCAAATAGGGTTTTACCTATAGAAGTTAACCAGAAGCATTTGGGAGTAAATATGTTTGCAAATTTGCTGATGTATTCTAGGAAAAAACAATAGATCATTCAAGTGAATACTCAATAGTCATTTAAGATGAAAAGGACCAGGAAACGACATAATTATAATCGGAGATCTTGTTTTTCTCTATTTTTTTTTTTTACTTTTTACCATTTGAACCCCAATTTTGACTTTAGATTCGGGTTCAGCGGCAAACATATGCCCAACAGACATCTTTTTTGTGACCTGTGTGGTTACTAGCTGTCGCTACAGCTTATCAATGTTATTGCGGCTTTATAATATGAATATTTATTATCTCGAACACAATTTATATCGTGTATATATTTTATTTAATGATATACTTTATAGTTGAAGTACATAATATGTTTCATGTTAACCATCTATGAGCCCGCGTATCTTTCAGGTCACATTCCAAATTGTCGATATTTTAAAAAAAAATTGACTTTTTTCGTGATGACGTATAAATCTTATTCTATAACGTTGGTCAAGCCATATTTATTCGCTTTGCTTGAGGATTTTCAACTAAATACCTAAGTCGTTTAATTTTTTTTTTTGCTTTTTATTTGCATATATAGGCTTATAATTACTGATTTTTTTTGTTCCTTTAACATCTAAGTATGTATGTAAAACAAAAATTCGGCAAATGAAAGTTAAAAATATGTTATTCTTATCGTTTTATGTTATTCTTATTGCGGCTTTATAATACGTATACTTAATATCTCTAAAACAATTTTCATTGTGGATATACCTTGTATAGTGATTATATATATCACTAAAGTATATCCAGTATATTGCGTATATACTTCATAGATATAGCAATATACTTTGTTAAGATAACGATCTTTAATTTAGTCGCCATTACGTTTTCTAAAACTTATTTATTGTTCATTATAATAATAGTAGGTTTTGTATAAAACTTAAATGGCACTCTTTTCGCTATTCAAATAATTTATACTAAACGGCTGGATTTAAATAAATACAGTAATTACAATTATAGTCAAGACATTTATGCTTAAATTAGGTAAGGATCTTGGAATTCGAGATATCCAGCTGAAAATCTCTAATACTTGTATATTGACATCCTAAAGTTGTCTCTACCACATGTAGGTTTTGAGACAACTTTAGGGTGTCAATATACAAGTATTTTCCTACTTACAGCTGGGTATCTCGAATTCCGAGGTGAACTTACTATAATGACTATTATTCGTTATCGACGAAAATTTTGTTAAAAAAATGAAATATATAAATATTGAAAATTCTTATACTAAATCGTAGTGGGATCAAACAAAACCCTTTATATACCTTTTATTTTGCAATTTTCAGACGAATTTAGAAGCTGAGAAACGTAGGTGTGAAGAGCACAACGCACTTCTTCAAGCCCAAATTGATGACCTGCGAATACAAATAACCCAAAGCGAGCTTTCGCATCGCGAACGGGCTGAACGAGCACGTTTGGAAAAGGAGGCCTTAATAAGGCGCGCTGAAGACGCCGAACTGCGTGCCGAACAACTCGGTATATATTTTAATAAATATTATATTATTCTATTTAATTGATCAAATCAATTTTGTCTTTTTTCACCTTGTTGTTCAATATTTATATTGCTTTTTCGAGAAGAGTTTCAGCTCCGAGTTTATCCGAGAGTCTCAGCTCAAGGCTCTCGGATATGGCACTAACATATTCTAAATATTAAATTTTCTCTGAACACATCGATTAATTCCGGTCTGGCTAAAACACCTTATTAGACTTTATTATATCACTCTTCATACTTAATTGATTAAAATCTATTTTGTCTTTCTTTTTTCAATTAAATTTTAATCTCCTATTTCAATAATTTTATTGCCTTTCGGAACGACCTTCAGCTTCAGCCGAAGTTTATTATTATTGTTCTAAAGGCTTTAAACATTTTAACTACACTGATACAAGACGTTCTACTACTCTATTCGCTAATTTTATATTTCATATCACTCTGAACAGGCTGCTTCCAAAATTTGAAAAAGTATGTGGCCTTTATTTGTTTGCTACGGGTGTGAGGTATCTTATAAGAAATTTTTAGCCTTCTATCTTATTGTCATTATAAAAATATGTGAAATGCCCTTGTTTTGGGAACTAACATGTTATCAAAACAACATCCCTTATCTTAGTATTTAAATATATTAAATTTATACAAGTTTCATACAAGAATTCCCGTGTTTGTGATTAAATAAATGTTATTTGCCAAAGGTTTTATAAAAAATACTGATAGATAAAACACATTCATAATAAAACAAATAATTATATATGTGTATTCTATATCCTTTTTTATATAACTTTCCTAAAAAATGCTAATAAGTTTTAAAGATATCACACAATCTGATAATCTCGTAAACCATTTTAATCACAATTAACAGTCGAAAATATGATTTTTGTTCCACGTTTGCTCAAAGTATTTAAATATTTATTTTAATTCAATTATTATGCCCTTTACACTTTTCGAAATTATTACTTATTTTATTAATTTGATATTGTTTCTATAATATTTGAATGAAATTAAACATCTGGTTGATATTTTCAGCTGAAAGTGGAATTGAAACTACAAAACCTTTCTTGAGACAACTTGAAATGATGCAAGAAACATCTGCAAAAAGAAGTAAGGCCTGGGAAAAACAAGAAAGCATTTTAGTGGAAAAATTGGGTAAAAAAACATATAGTCAATATCTGTATGATCTGTTCTAATGTTTACTGACATTTTAGAGGATTCGCAAAATGCCTTAAAAATAATGAGAGAAAATGAAAAAACCACCAAAGAAGAAATAGCACAATGGCGAATAAAAATTAATGATCTGAATGAGAAATTGAACAAATCTATGGAGAATGAAAATAGACTAACTTTGGAATTGGAATCTGCGAGAACTAAATTAGAAGAAGTTAAGCAGGAGACTAAAAAGTATATTCACCATTTCATAAATTGAACGACATTAATTATATTTGAATTATAATGCTTCGGTTTTTGACCTCAAATTAATTTAATTAGATTGTTCATTTAGTTCTTATTAGCAAGAATTGCAATATCCTCATCTTATTTAAAACTGGAATGTTATTTCAATAATTTTTTTTCGATTGCATTAAAATCACTGATCAAATCTTTTATAGTATACATTAGATACTATACATTGAATCAGTATCATACAATTTATTTAAATAGTGTAATGTTTTTTTTCAGGAATCAAACTGAAGAATCAACTCAATTAAAAGTCCTTCATGACCGTATTACTGAACTTTCAAATCAGTTATCCTATACACAGAATCAATTATCAAATGAGAGAGCAAATTGTGAATCTGAAAAACGAAAAGTAAATAATCTTCAAGAAATGCTGAACAAAGAAAAAACTCAATCTTCAATGGTGACATTCAGTTCGAGTACACCTATGCAGGATCTTAGTCAGTTAAAACAATCAAGAGAGTCATCACCAACCTTAAGTTTAGGAAGAATGAGTGGCTCAGGATCTGCCCACAGTGCATTGTGGCATTTGGTAAATATGATATACTTTGATTAATAAAATGGTGATGCAAATTTAAATGTTTTTTTCCTTTGAAAAAGGATGATTCAGCGGACTGCAACTCGAGTCTGGCCGACGGAGGTGCTGGTTCCATGTACGATGTCTACCGTGCAGGCCATTCTACCCAAGTACTTGAATCCTTACAATCCCTAGTCAAACAGCGCGACGGAGAAATTCAACAATTAAACCATGAAATAACAAGACTTACTTCAGAAAGAGATTGTTTATCTGCTGAAATGGCCAAACTCACTGTAGAATTAGACAGGAATATGGAGAGGCTGGAAGAAAATGCAGAAATAGCAGAACAGATGGCTCAACTTCAAAGGCAGTATGATGCCTTGTTGCAAATGTATGGTGAGAAAATGGAAGAAAATCAAGAGCTGATGTTAGATTTACAAGATGTTAAGGATATGTATAAAGTACAGATAGATGAACTAATGGCAAAACAAGATAATAAATAATGGACTGATATTATTTGAACTTAATTTTTACTGTCAAGTAACCATCATATGTACCGTTCTATCAATTCATGAACAATTGATATAATAGTGTTGTGAACACCCACTAATACATTTGAAGACATAATATTCACATATGCGCTTGCTTTCGAGGCACGTTCTGAAAACAACGTCATGTGAATCGTAGGCTACCATATTCTTCACACTTTTTTCACAATTTATTATAAACACTATGTTCAAATAAAAGGCTTACTATATGTGATCAAAATTAGAGAAAATTATGAAACGTAATAGCATTATATTCGACGGAAATATACGTCAAGAACTTTAAAATAAAGGTATTTTCTATATTTATTTTAAAGTTATAAGATATTTTGTATGAAGGAGTCTAGCATTGGAATATTCAAAGAAAGAACTGCTTTGTAAAACATTTATATAATATTAAAGTATAGAATACATACTTAAATATTATGAAAAAGTCCGATTTTATGATTTATATAGAGAAGAAATCATAAATCTCAATTGAAGATTTCATATTCGTAGTTATTTATAAATAAAAAATTATATAAAGATGATATCACCATATTTGTTATTAATTGCAAAAATTGTTTATTAAATTTTATTGACTATAATGTTATATTGATAAAATAAAGTAATAAAACGTATATTTTGGTACTTGGTTATTATAAATTAATTTGCATTTATTTATTTAAATCCAAATAATAAAATTAAATTTAGAACATAGTAAAATTAAAATAATAGATTTTTATACAATACTAAAGTATAAAGGCTATACCCCCCCAAAACAAAAGCTCTTTTAGCTTAAAATGTTAGCATTAAGAAATTCTAATTTTCATAGAATGAAATTGCACAACAATATCATGATGATAACATAAAAAAAACTGTTCCTCCTAGAACTTAATTCAAACCACTTATAAATTTTAATGAAAATGATTTTCCGAATTTAATAATTTAAAAAATTGTTGCTCTTATCTCAAATATAATAACATCGATTAAATTTTCGCCGAAAAATGTTTGTTTTTGAAAATTTTGACAACATTTAATCCTAAATATAAAAGTGAAACAGGAAGAAGTTGAACCAATAACTAAAGTTTTTAGTAGAGAATATAGATCTAACTAGTAATGAAGCAGATCTATAAAATTGAAGTTATTCATTCATATAGTACTCCTTAATATAATCTCAAATCAAGATGTCAGCACGATACATGTTGTGTTTCATCATCGTTTAAATCCTAAATTTTCTCTTTGCCATTGATCGAATTTTTAAAATCTCATTAATTTATGAAATAGCAAAGAATTATGAATTGATTCAAAAGCAGCATTGTCGACTTGTTTCATTATATCCATCGGATGTAAGACGCGCGACGTGAAGATCTTATTGACATTCACTTCAAAAATTTTGTCATACAACAACACATTAGATACAATTTTGTCTTATACTGCTCCGGTAATCGTAAATGAGCTAAATACGACGTCGGTCTTTGGTTGACCCGTCGCCTGTTTAGCTGTTATTTTCGTAGCCGTTTCAAATCAAAATGATGTAGCGGTTTACGAAAATCGATAAGTTAATTCGCGTTGAGTGATATTTCGCTCTATATTTATCTTCAGTTCACACCCATGGAGTCCAGCCTTCATAGAGAAGTGCCAGGTTGTCTGCATTAGTGGCCTCTCGAATAATAAAGTCCACCTGCTCTGCAGGAGTGCAGCGCCACATGGGATCAGGATCGCGGCCTTCTAATTTCAGGCGCACGCGTCGCCACACCGATACAGCGTACGCGTTGCGTTTTTGTTCCATTTCGGGCACTGAAAAGTAATTATTACAAACATTATATACGAACAACAGATGCACTAGCATTCTTATTTCAAATTGAATAAATTAGATATATTTGTCAAGAACCATAATATATAAACAATAATAAACTATCTAAAGTGATTAGAATATTGGAAATAATTAATTAATTAAAATGATTTTCAATTTTTTATGTATTTTGAAAAAAAAAAAAAAACTAATTTATTGAGAAGTTAAACCATACAAGAAGTACAAAATATTTTAGACTAACTTTTTTGTAAAATTAAATCAGTTATCAATCCCATATTTGTTATGATTAGGTATAGTATGCAGAGCTGTAAAACGTATTTCATCATTGCTGGTACCTATTTAGTATTCAAACTATGCAAAAGAATCAAAACATTGATGATAAAAGTTTTGATCTTATATAATTATTATATTGAATTTTTTCTTAAGCAGTACACAACTGTATCAGCCTATAAAACATGTATTTGTCACTTTTTTGGACAAAAAAGATAATAAATCTTATTAGTTATATAGTAAAAGTTATTTATTGCACTTTTAAGTAACAAAATATAAAATTATTGTTTCAATATATATATATATATATATATATATATATATATTAAATTTGAGGCCCTCTGTGCCGGTAGTTGCTACAAATTTCGATATAGCAACAAAAAAAAAATCTAGTTGAAAGTGGCATTTTGCCTTAAGGCAAATTGCATGAACTTCCCGAAATGTTTAATAATTGACTTAATCAATCGATATTGAGATTTAGATATTTAGATAAGATTTTCAACTGCACTTTGACATTATTTAATGATTTAAATTAATGGTAAAATATTTTTACACAAGTAAAAAAGTTATGTGTTTACATATTTTTCCGCTAATTCCAAAAAACAATGACTTGGCCGATCTTCTCGCAAACATAATCGCGGCTCGACCTTATCGTATTTATTCCATTGGCTTTTAAATTTGTGCAATTCAAATTTCGACTTATCACATCACAAAACCGACTTTTGACAAAAAATTTTGACGATCATTTTTTCAAACATTGATGAATTTTTAAAATTAAACCACTTGTCGTAGAACCATAATATTTTAGTATGTTCTTTAGAACCATGATGTCTAACAACATAAAAAGTTTCATCAAAAAAAAATTCATCAGTTAATTACGAAGAACGGTTTGACCGACCAAAACTAATAAGCACGATTCCCAAAAATTATCTTTTGAATATTTTTCGAATTTTTAAAATCGATTCATAATTTTTGGCTAAAACGCGTACATTTTTTTAACTTTTCTTTACTTTACAAAGAAACCGCTGGGCCGATCATCCCATAATACTGAGAAACGAAAGTCCTCATCTAGATACATCGAATGACCTCTAAATTTTCGAATTTGGTTCAGGCGTTTTTGAGAAAGGTTCGATTTAGGGTAAAAAATCTGTTCACACACACACACACACATACTTTTTCCAAATTTGGTCTCATTCGATTCAGAATTGGATTTTTTGATAAAAACAAACTTCTCTTTCAGGAAGTTAAAAATTCATTGTATATGCTTATTGCTAGAAAAAGACATAGGCGATTTTAAATAAATTAATTACCAAGAATTTAAATAAAAAGGTAATCATTTCTTAATAAATAATGATTAATCTTAATTAATAATCTTATTTTAAAGATACCGTAACAAATCCAATTAAAAGAATGAAATTTGCGATGGCTACTTGCCATTTTGAAAAATCATACTTCAAAAATTAAATACGATGCGCTTGTAGGAGAGTTTGCGATTTCATACTTTTAGGTTTGAGAAATTTTCCTCATTTTCTAACAAGGTGAAAGTTACATTTAGGCCACATAAAGTTATTTTTTTTACGGTTGTGTCACCTCTTAATTATTGAATAAAATACATATTTAAAAATATTAAGTTAACATACCAGGATAATCTTGGATACAGGAGCAGGTAGGATGGTTTGGAAATGTATGAGGACTCATATAGTTACCATGCTCAATAAAACGACAAACAAATACTTACATCTAGGTGATTTTTCCTTAGTTCCATTAATTGACTGCACACTACTTTGCCTCAACAATGGAGGCCTTTTATTATTATTTTTTCCATTATCAGCCTCAAACAAAAATATATCATCAAACACACCTCCGATTAATTCTTGTGCTTCTTGAACTTGTCCTTTCACAGCGTAAATCGAATTCAAAATGTTCTCTTTGTCATACATAGCGCTGGAAATTGCTGAAATTACTTCCAAAAATCTCTTGTATCTTGATAAATAATCTCGAAGTCCTGTAACTTTGTCCCCATCTGATTTAAGCATATTTTTCAGAAGTGCTCTGATGTCAGATGTCAATTGATTGTGCTGTGACATATGAGATCGTAATTTGTTCACTATGTCTTGCAAAAGTTCTTCTGCTTCAGTCAAACTACTTTGTTGTGTTTCAATTTCGTCATCAATTTCATTGATCATATTTTTTAGGAGAGCTCCAACATTTGATAAATATTGATCATCAACACATCCTTCTGGATCCAACATCTCAAATAAACAGTCTTCTAATGGTGATATTGCATTCTTGCACCCTTCTTGTAATGTACCTGAATTCATTTGTGAAATAAACATATTTTTCAAGCGTTTCCCAAATGTGGCACAGTTGTATAATATTCAAAATTATATTTTAATAAATCGATTTTAACTAAATACTAACTATTAAATAACTAAATTATATATATATATATATATATATATATATATACATATATCATAAGTATCAGAAAAAACTATTTTAAGATAGTTAATCGGTATAATATGCATTAAAAAGTTCGATTCGACACCCGATAAATCAAAAAACCAATTAATAGGCTAGTTGTCAATGGTCCTAAAAATAAAAAACCTAAATTTTACCAAAAGAATTTTGGCAAAAACGATGGAGAAAATTGTTCATCACCAAATATAATAATATAATAATTTTTCATCCCAAAGTCATTTGTAGTGACCAAAAGAATTTCTTTCTAATTTTTTTATATTTTATGTTAATAGACAAAATTAAATAGTTTAATTATTTACTCACAACTTTTCTCCCACTGAGATACCATATCCAGAAAAGCCTGATCATTAGTTGCACTCTCTGATGTTCTAGTTCTCATAGCTTCATGATGCAATATGGCGTTGCAAGTTTTGGCCACTTCTCCTGCAGTATGCTGTAATTGCTGCAATTCTTTATCCCTATTTTTGATAGCAGTTTCAAATGCCGACGTTACTTCAGCTAATGCAGGGTTTGCACCTGCAGCCCACTTTAGTCTCTGTTCAGCACTTTGCACGAGAGAATTTTGAGTAGCATGACATTCCGTGATCCGTTGTTGTATAGCAATCAATAACTGCAAGTTAAATAAAAATATAAAAAGTTAATAAGAAAATGAAACTAAATAAACTAAAATAAAAATTCACAAAAATATATTGTGTACATAGAGGAGTACATACAGAGGAGACCATAAAAATAACTTTGTGAACATAGATCAATGATATTTCAATTTTTCAGTAACACTATAAAAAAACTAACTCAGTTAATGTTGAAATATTATACACCCAAAATGGCAAATAAAATATTATTATCTATATAATGTAAAAGAACATATATTGGTAATATAAAGTTCAAAACAAGATTGTAAGATAATTATATAAAAATACTCATTAAATATCTTTTACAAAATATCAAAGCTAAAATTTTACTTAATTTCACGTAACTCACCTGTGAAGCTTTTCTCAGTTCTAACATGAAACCAGCTCTTATAATAGGTGGTGGTGATATTTGAGCTGAAATACTGTTTGAAATTAAAATATCCTCATGCAGCCAGTGATAAGCTGTTACTTGGACTTGTAATCTTTCAACCTATGAAAAAATAATTCAATAAAATTCTTTTATAGATATCAACTTTTCACATCCATTAATATTGAAAATAACTCAGCACAAAATCTAAATTGGCAATGTTATCACATTTAATGTATCTTTACCTCTCTCCGATGTGCGGTAACATTTGAATGTAGTACATTGTTTGTTTCCCGTCTTTTCCAAGCATGTTCCAAAGCACTGCATAGTGAGCTTGCCTGTGATAAATCACTAGCAGTGTAAAGGCAATTACGAAGACCAGTATCTATGGCCTTCCTACAAATATCATCCAGAGGAACTTTGCTTTCAGCACCTACATCCTAAGTACAACATAGCAAGAGAATTATGAACAAGTGGTAAAATTTTCATCAAATTTACTTATTCTGAATGTAGAAATATAAAGTAGTACCTTTAATTCAACTTCAACTCCAACATTAACACCTAATCTATATTGCATAATAAAGCACATTGTGAGGGCAAGTGTGTGAGGCATGACACCCAATAGTTGTCTCGAAGCATAATCAGCTGTAAACCTCCTGACAGGCCTCATTAATTTTTCATCATCCAAAACCAAAAGTATATTTGGCTGATTAATCATCATATTATGCAATGTTGGCACCAATCCTTTAAAAACCCTAAAAACAATAATAAAACATAATGTTTACAAATGTTAAAATTCCTTTACTTATTACCAAATTAAATCTTACTTGGCTCCTTGCATTGTTAAATTAAATACTTCCAATATCATCTGAAGAGATTTTACAAAAAATATGTCCTTTAGAACTCCACGAGTTGATTCATTTAAAACTTGAGCCTATGAACAAAATTCATTAAATTTTTGAATATTTTGCCTATTATATATATATATATATATATAAATATATATATATATATATATAAATATATATATATATATATATATAAATATATATATATATATAAAGCGAGAGGTTTTTCTTCAGATGGTGAAATAATATAATAAATTGTTTCTTGGGCATCCATCCAGTAATTAAAAAACAGTTTTAATGAAAAATGTTTTTATTTATAGAGAACATACGTTTCGGGTCTGGATTTGACCCATCTTCAGTGCTACAAATAAATAATTCAGGGTTACAAATTAAAACAATATAAAAAAATACATAATTAACAGACAGAAATAAGTAAAACAATGTATATGAAAAGTATATATGAAAAACAACCATAAATAAACAATGTAAAGAAACTCACCATACAATAAACTTTGAAAAACAACACAAAAACACAAAATTGCACGAAAAATAAATAAAAGTGAAATAAAAATTGATGAAACGTCGAGTTATGAAAAATTTTAAAAAAAATTGTAAAATTAAAATGAATGATATATTTTATTATAAAAAAGCTTATTCCAAACGAACATGTTGTTGGTTGGAAGTTGTATTACGAGTGTGTACGAGAGTAAAATGTGTGCGAACGTGTATTTTCCGCAAACACGTTCGCACACATTTTACTCTCGTACACACTCGTAATACAACTTCCAAACCAACATGTTCGTTTGGAATAAGCTTTTTTATAATAAAATATATCATTCATTTTAATTTTACAATTTTTTTTAAAATTTTTCATAACTCGACGTTTCATCAATTTTTTATTTCACTTTTATTTATTTTTCGTGCAATTTTGTGTTTTTGTGTTGTTTTTCAAAGTTTATTTGTATGGTGAGTTTCTTTACATTGTTTATTTTATGGTTGTTTTTCATATATACTTTTCATATACATTGTTTTACTTATTTCTGTCTGTTAATTATGTATTTTTTTATATTGTTTTAATTTGTAACCCTGAATTATTTATTTGTAGCACTGAAGATGGGTCAAATCCAGACCCGAAACGTATGTTCTCTATAAATAAAAACATTTTTCATTAAAACTGTTTTTTAATTACTGGATGGATGCCCAAGAAACAATTTATTATATATATATATATATATATATATATATATATATTTGAGGATTTTTTCTACAACATTGAAACATATTGAATTGAATAAAAAATAAAAATAAGAATTTCTACATTGAAATTTCTATAAAGATATTTTTTTACTTTCGACGCATTGGCTGTTTTAATCAATTCAATATATACACTAAGTAAGTAATTTTAATCAGTGTATTTTAACACTAATAAATTTATAGGTAATCGAGTAATACTCAAAAAAATAAGGAAAGTAAAGACCCATAAGATTAATTGCTGGTAAATAGTAAACCTAATGCCATGCCAATAATAATAATAAACAAAATTTAAAAACTCCAAGATCAAAGTATTTTGAATAAATCAAAGATTTATGAAACCTTGAAATTCTTATTATTATTTATTGAAAGTTTTTATTATTTAAAATGAATTTGAAATAAAAAAAATATAATAGAAAACTTACAGCCATATTTTTAGCATCTCTTATCTGGTCAATTTTCTCCAAGATGGTAACGTACCGACAGTCAATTGTTGTAAAATTCTATACAATTCGTCATGCTGCCTTTGCAATTTGTCACACATGCCCCAAAAACCAATGAGAAGCATATGTCCATGATCTAAATTGCAATTTGTTGAAATTTTGTCTGTGGCTACATCAGAACTTATTTCTGAATTTCCACAACTATTGAGTAAAGCTTCAAATTTCTGACGTATATCTAATACAATTGAATGTAATGCTGTGTGAGGAGACTGAAAATATAAAATAGATTTTAATTTTTATCACAAATTCTGAGAAAATATATAAATTGACTATGTTTTTGGAGCAGAAATATTAAAAGTTACTAATTATATTAAATAAAGTTAAGTTAATCTACATTAAGTAGCATCAACATTAAAATGTATGTAAATAAAAAATTTCTACAATGGGGTTGTTTACTCACATCCATTTCCATGATGATGAATCGCAAGTGCATTTCTAACTGTTTCAACAATTCAGGCACTGGAATTCCAATTTCTGCAACAATGTCTTTCAATGTAGACATTATGGTTAAAACTGATGGATCTTCTGATTGAACACCTTTAAGAATCTCTGGGAGAAGAATATTTTGGAAATTTTTATTGATATCATGTAAGCTCTGGTATAATGCATCTGTTGATCGTAAAGCACCCAGTGATAAAACAATGTATTCTTCTCCTGCAAAATAATTCAATGTATATATAATAATATATATATATATATATACAACAAATAAAATTGAATAAAAAAACTATTTGCATCAAATTCATCAAGGCAGTCGATAACAAATATACGAATTCTCTGTCCATTCTTACCTTGAACGTCATCCGAATTTCCAACTGTTGATATGACACTAACCATTTCAGCTATCAAAGCTGATGTCATTCTTAAACCGTCCAGGAACCAATCGCCCTCTCTTGTATTTAAATCTACCAGACATTCGCCGGCAGCCGATGCGGCCGTTTCTAACATTATATACTGTTGATTTAGGGTACTTAATGTGGAAACCACTATAGATTCTAATGATCTTGCAGCGGTTTTATCTTGAACTCGCAGGAAATGGTTAATGTTATTACGTGCTTCCAGATAACTATAAATAATGAATAAAATATAATGTAAATTTGAATGTTTTTTTTAAAATCACATAAATTTCACACAAGTAATGTATATAATTCTGATGATATGCACAATATTCTAGAAATTTTAAAGTATTTATAATAATAAAAGAACTTACATCTCTTCATATTTTGGTGTTGGTTTACCAGTCATATTATTATCGGCCTCCATTTGCTGCAATCTTTCACAAGCATTTTGTAGACGTATATTTGCTTCAGCAAGAGTGTTCTGTAATCTAAATGAGTAGGCGACTATATGTTGTTGTTCGGCTCCAGGCAATGGTGGTCCAAACTCGGTTTGAAATTGTGCAACTACTTCGCGACAAACTTGAGGTGATTCTCCAACCAGGAGCATGTTGGCCCAATGGGAATATCGCGCTGTGCGATGGCGAGTCAGATTTGTCACAGGATATAGTGATACAATGGTACCATACCTGAAAATATTGAAATGTAATATTTACACATACTAGAACTTCTTTTTGTACAAAAGCCACCCCGTTGTGAACATTTAAATAAATATATTTAAGTTTTTCACATAGTCAATTTTAAGCAAACAAGAACAAACTAGTTGGTATTGGTATTTTGCCTTTGAATTCCGAGTGGCTTTATAACACATAATTGAAAAAGAACGAACACGTTAAATCGGAGTATTTTCTGAAAGGAAATTTTCAAAAATCAATAATTTTCATAATCGAACCAGTTTCCATAGGTATTTAATGTTTTAGTATGTTCATTAAGACCAAGTATTCTATCGTTATACCAAGTAAATCGTCTAATAATAATTTTAACTAACTAATAATTTTAACAAACGTTAAAAAAAACTACACATTTTCTCAAACTTTGATAAATTTTTAAAATTAAACTACTTGTAAGGCTGTAATATTTCAGTAAGTTCTATAAGACCATAATATTTATCGCCAAAATAAAATCGGATAATTTTTTTTTCAATTGTTAATTACAAGACAACGGCTCGGTAGATTTTCACCAAAACCTAATCAGTATCATTCCCAACTAATATCTTTCGAACAGTTTTTGATTTTTTAAAATCGATTCGGTAACACTTTTTTCCAAATTACAAGAAACGGCTCGGCCGATCGCCGCACAAAACTGAGAAACGATAATCCTCATCGAGATACATCAAATGGCTTTTAAATTTCTGAAATCTGATGTTCAGTCGTTTTTGAGCAAACGTCGATGAAATTTCTAATTTTGACAAATGCCAAAAAAACGATAATAATTTTTGCAAACTTTGACGAATTTTTAGAGTTAAAAGAGTTTCCGTAGGGCCATAAAAAAATACCACCTTATTACAAGAAAACAGCTAGGCCGATCTTTACCAAAAACTAATCAGCACGATTTCTAACCAATATCTTTCGAACGGTTTTAGAATTTTCAAAATCGATTCAGAATTGCGGGCTAAAACTTGTGATTTGTTTTTCACTTTTCTGCTATGTATTTAGCAAGAAACGGCTTGGTCGATCGTCGCACAAAATTGATAACCGCTAGTCCTCATCGAGATACATCGAATGGCTTTTAAATTTTTGAAATTGGTTCAATCGTATTTGTTCACACACACACACACACATTTTTTTCCCAAATTTGGTCTCATTCGATTCAGAATGTCTTGAAACGTCGAGAAAACATAAAATTAGCGAATCGGATTTTTTTTATGGAAACATGAACTTCCCTTCATGTTAAAGTTAAATACACCTATGATTGAATAATTAAATGAATGATTGAAGAAAATGAATCATATGGCAAAGTATGAATGATCTCTCATAGCTGACGCTTTGCCTGACTGAGATATAGGAAATATATATTCTAATTAAAAAGAAACCAAAAAAAAAACAGTAAAACGCCATTGTTAGAGACTATTTTTTAGAGGCAAGAACAGAAACGCGCCTTATGCAAGAAAGTGGAATAGGTACAATATGTTTCATAGTGTTGGAACTGGCATAAGCGGCGCTTTATGCGAGAAACAATATAAGAATAATCGGCTCAACTGCCTCACTGTATTTGATTTAAAAAAAAATCAATAAAAAATATAAGTCTATGTTTTGAACAAGTGTTGAATTTCAGACCTCATACAGTATCGATAGAAACAATTAGTGTCATATACTAATTTTTTCAAAAACTATACTTTATCATATATTTAAGAGCCGTAATAAAAAAATGTAACTAAAAATGCTATAAAGCCTTATACTATCTAATAAATTAATCTAGAAAATATAGATACCAATTTATAAATTAAGAGTTACTATGTATCATTGTATCATTGTATAAAGCAAAAAAGTCTGGTATTATCAGGTGATACTTGAAATAAAATAACATTTTATTTTGTTAGTATTTACCTTCCAAGTAGCTCCATACAAACTCTGGTTAAAGTAGCTTGTTGTCGCGCAAGACCAAGAAGTTCATTTTCATTTTCATCGCACTGGCTAGTCATAGCTGTCTGTCCAGCGCTATGCAAAAATTCGCGCACTATGTCAAAACAAAGTACCTATAATAAATTTAATATAATATAAATTAATCATAAATCATTATTTTAAAATTAAATCATATTCTGATTATCATGAAATAATTTATCATTTTTGTATGTGAAATACCTGAGTATTTTGGTTGTCAGAATTGTTCAATTCATTTATTCCTAACGTCGTCATAGAGTTTAGTTCAACAACAACCCAATTTCCTAATTGTGTTGCTTTAACTGCTTCTAACGCATTAGCGTGTGCTAACATTTGTCTTTCACATTCTTCTTTGCGTTCATCTATAGAAAAAAACAATCATATTTAAATAAATTTAGTAAATAGTAAATTCTCAATAAATATGTTATATTTATAACACCTAAGGATATATGCATATATCCCCAATTAAATAAAAATCAAGTTGAATGCTAATGCATCGTTTATAGCAATTTTTTTTCTTTATGGCTTCATTCCTCAAATGATCTTATTTGTGTGAAATATATGAAAAACCAAGATTTTGTTTCACTAAAGAAAACCGATTATAATATAAACAAAATAATAATATTACATCTCGTTCTATTTAAATGATCTCTTTTTACAACTTTTATCTTTTCTTTTAACCGCTTTTGAAATGAAATCACTTACTATGAGCTTGATAAATCTAAACTTACATATTGATCGTTTGGTTAGTTCATGCGCTTCCTTTTGTCTTTGGCATGTCAATCTACGATGACCCAGTTGTCTCAGCCTATGTCCAGGATCGCATAGTGCATCATTCGCCAAAGTCATAGATCTGAAAAGCGCATTCTTTCGCTCTAAACTCTGGTCACGCTGACACGATTCATTTGTCAAACGTTCTGCTATAGCCGATAATGCCGTTAATTGGTTAATAATATCCTCCCTGCAATTAATAAAAATAATTTGATCAAAACTAATTTTCGTCTTATGCCATATGATATAAAATAATGAAATTACTTGTTGCTTTTCCATTCCGGTCTGATCTCCGAAAATCTAACAGCCAACATGTCCCTGGTCACTTCTCTTTCCATACGTCGTCTTGCTGCTCTACCACCTGTTCCAGTGACTGCTATCGCTCCGCCCCCACCAGCACCACCAGCAGTCGTTCCTCCAGTTGTCCAGTCTACGAGTGGATCATACACAAATGCTTCGAGTAACGTGAGAAGTGTCTCACGACCACGGCGTAGAGAGCGCAAAACGTGCTCGCACGATAAGCGATACGTACCCTTTAAAAAAAGATTTAAGTGATTTACTTTTGAAAAACAATAATTTATTAGAACAAAAGACAAATCAGATAATTAAAACTCAAACTGACTAGATGTCTGTTGTCTTTCTTTCATAAATTATTTAAAATAAAGAGTGCGCGTAAGGTTCACACGCGATTGTAGTAAAACTTATTTGCTACTGTACAAGATGGCATTTAAGTAAAAATAAATACGTCATATAACAATTTTGAATAATGTTTATTGGCAATATAGTTACACTTGTGATGCCCACATTTATATTAGTGTCAACCATTAGACACATTTATATAATGATTATATAATTAGCATTAAGAAATGAACCTTCATTAGAGAAATGAAGTTCCTTCATTGAGAAATGAAATTGCTGATTAATAACTTCTATAATATTCGTTCACATAGTGGATTATGTTAAACAACGCCTAAACAAATATTGTTTTCGCAACTTTACTCATCATGTAATAATTGTGTTTGAAGAACTTCATGTAATTAAAATTAACATACGTTCATCGGTACGCATACAACGTTGACGCCGGTACGCATCAACGACAGATCTCTATTCACATAAGCGACGACTAATCACAATCGACCAGTATAGAAATGATATCATCGAGAGCGAATGACGAATCATTGGCACTCGACTCTTATCTGCCGTAACGCACTTCCGTTGCATTTGTACGGATTTACACCCTAGTCGCGCCTAAAGAAGTTTTACTTTAAAAAATTGAATTTTTAGATCAATTAATTTTTTAATTTTCAAAATGTTCTTAACATACTGCTTCAACGTTTAAGTTATTAACTCTTATCAGTCGCTAGCTTTTCAATACGCGATTCCCGTTAGATCGTAGCTGGTTAATATTCGAAATCTCTTTTAATAAAAATCTCGGTTAATATTCGAAATCTCTTTTAATAAAAAAGTAATGTATTAGATACTTGATTACATATATAACATTTATTTTTTAACCACTTTCGAAATTGTTCTAGCCATCATTTTCATCGAAAATTTTATTGTATTAGGTGCGTAATTAAGTTCTCGCTGTTTATTAGTACATGACTCTAGCAGTAAGAGTTGGTTGATTTTGACATGTCCAAAACGTCACGAACCAAGCTTAGACATATGGTAAACAAACTGCTGCGACACCACGAGTGATTTCGTTTTCCGCATTATATACTTCTGGTTAAGTGAAAATGTCTAATTTCGTGCTAAACAATCGTCATTTGCGGAAAGTGATGATTTTCTTCTTCCATTCTGGATGATTGGTTTCGTCGCTTCAAAAACGGTGATTTTCTCGTGAAGGAAGGCCCAAAACCTTCGAAGACGCTAAATTGGAGGTCTTGCTTGCTTGCTTGAAGAGGATTCTGGCTAAACTCAAGCAGATGCACGCAAAAGTGATTTT